TTTCCGCGGGTTACGTATATTCGATTTTCGATTTTTTTGTGGCGTTATGTTGGTACTCATGTCTCTCACTTATGCCGACAAGTTCGGCCATTTTGAATGTTCAGTTAATTTTTGACAGCTGCTTTGCTTGCACGTGTTTTGGCTCGTCTTCGATTTTTGCTTATTCCAAAAAATGGATCAAAGAATCTGTATCAAATTTTGTGTGAAAAACAAAATTAAGTGCGCGGACGCATTCCGAATGTTGACTGTGGCATATGGTGAAGCTACCTTGGACCGAAGCAACGTTTATCGGTGGTACAAAATGTTCTCAGAGGGCCGAGAAGATGTGAACGACGAAGAGCGTGCCGGACGCCCGAGCACGTCAACAACAGACGAAAACATTGATGAAGTGAAGAAAATAGTATTGGCCAATCGGAACGGTCAATAAGGAATATTACCTGCAAGTTATGCGCAATTTGCGCGAAGCAATCCGCCAGAAACGCCCGGATTTGTGGAAGAACAAAAATTGGCTTTTGCACCATGATAACGCCCCTGCTCACACATCGTTGCTTGTGCGCGAATTTTTGACCAAAAACAACACACTAATGATGCCGCAGCCACCGTATTCCCCAGATCTGGCCCCCTGTGACTTTTTCTTGTTCCCGAAACTGAAGAGGCCCATGAAAGGACGACGCTACGCTACGATTGAGGAGATAAAGACGGCATCGAAGGAGGAGCTGAACAAGATCACAAAAAATAATTTTTTGAAGTGCTTCGAGGATTGGAAAAAACGTTGGCACAAGTGTAATATCTGATGGGGATTACTTTGAAGGGGACAAAATAGATATTCATGAATAAATAAATAATTTTTGAAAAAACACAAAATTCGCGATACTTTTTGAACAGACCTCGTATACAGAAGGTCATACTCTTACGCGTGTACGGCGATTACATCGAACACGTCTGGGACCAGCTTCCGGAACACGTGAAGATTCGGAGGTTCGAACCTATCGTCGGTGCGACGAGCACTACAATCAGCCGTGGCAGCGAACGCACATCGATGGTCCCGCACCCAAGATAAAGGACTGTAACGAATATCAGTGTCGGGCGGTAGTCTGTTGAATCGAGCGGTAAACGCGCTTCCTTTCGAGTTACATATTCCGGGCTACCAGTTTTGCGGCCCAGGCACTCGACTTGCGAAGCGATTAGCCAGAGGTGACGCGAGCATAAATCCACTGGACGCGGTGTGTCGAGAACACGACATTGCGTATTCGCACAGCAACGATCTCACCGATAGACACATGGCAGACAATATACTAGCCGCGAAGGCGCGGAAACGCATTACCGCGAGTGATTCGGCTCTGGGCGAGAGAGCCGCCGCTGCTGCCGTCTGGGCAGCGATGAAAGCCAAGACCAAGATCGGCATGAGCATGAAACCGAAGAAGAAGACGATGACGACGAAGAAAAAGACGACGAAAAAGCGGATACTTCCAACGCGAAACGAGATAGTGCTTTACCGTTTCTGCCAATGTTGGGCGCGCTCGGGTCCTTGATCGGCGGAGCGGCCAGTGTAGCGAAAACGGTAAACTACAACAAAGCCGCACGACGTCAGCTCGAAGAGCTGCAACGTCATGGCCGCGCGATGGAACAGGGGCGCGGACTGTATCTTGCTCCGTACAAATACGGACGCGGACTGTATCTCGGCCCGTACAAACATGGACAGGGTGCAGCTGCAAAGAAAAAAAAAAACGCCAAAGAGACGATAAAAATGCCGTCTGACGCAACTACCAATGTGGAATTAAACGAGCTCGCGAGACGTATGCGCATACCATACTTTAGAGGCGTTTTCATGCGTAACGCGTTATCGACGAGCAGTGCGCGTCGAAACGAAAGCGGTATCGTGAATCTGGACGATGCGACGAGGCCTGGTACTCACTGAGTAGCGTACGCGAAGAAGAACAACCGCGTCGTATACTTTGACAGTTTCGGTAATCTTCGACCTCCTAAGGAACTGGTGCGATATTTCGGGAACGGTGCTACGACGATAGAGTACAATCGTACGTCCTATCAGACGTACGATCAGAGCTTCTTCTGCGGACAGATGTGCCTGCGGTTTCTACAAACGATAGACGCGCGTGAATTTAAAAAGCTCGGCGAGATGCTGTGAAATCTTAGTATTAGTCGAACACCGTCATGTCGCTGACGCTTACGCTGAGCGGGAAGAGCACTGTCCTCGCGGGAAACTACTTTCCCGCCATAGATTTGAGTGATGGCGATTACGAGCTCGGTCGGGCGATTTTTGAGACTTATCACACGATACCGAACGTGAATAAATCGAACAACAAATTTTATTTTGATAAAGATGATGCGGAAATTACAATTCCCGAAAGTTCGTACGAAGTGCGAGACATAAATAAATTTCTGAAACGCGCGATTTTACGGAAACGTCCGCACCGCGACGCGCTTGAAACCGTTGACGTAGTGCACGGTGACAATAACAACAATGACACCGATGATGATAATGGGAAGAATACCCGATTACGCTCCGCGCAAACTACAACACGATGAGATGCGAGATTAGATGTGCGTACAGAATAAACTTTGACAAGTCCAAAAGCATTGGATCGCTGCTGGGATTCTTGTCGAAGCGTATACTGCGACCGCGAAGATGGCACCAATCGGACATGTCGATCAATATAATGAATGTAAACGTTATCCGCGTAGAGTGCAACGTGACCGCGAGTGCGTACAGCAACGGCAAAAGCGCGCACACGATACACGAATTTTCATCGAGCGTGCCGCCAGGATATAAAATATCGGAAAGGCCGGCTCAGATCATTTACCTACCGATCATCGCACGGAGCAGTACGGATCTAACGATACGCGTCGTCGACCAGAACGGACGATTACTCGATATTCGAGGAGAAGAGATCACCGTTAGATTGCACGTACGATGTCTGCAGTGATAATGTGAGCATGAGATGCTCGTGTTGAACGAAACGGAGCGCACGCAGAGAGATAACGTATTCTTTACGAGGCCAACGACATCACAGCTCGATACAACACTCGCTCATCCAACTGCATTAGAAAGAAGAAGAAGCTCAGCGCGTCGAACGTTACATTTTTAAAGTCTTTGGGATTCGCGGTGCTCAATATTTGAGATGACTGATATCCTAAACATTAAAGACGAGCCGATCTTCGACGATCGCATCGTCAAGATTGAGACTCACACGTACAACCCGTTCGCCAACCCAACGTTCGGGTACAGCGACGAGATAAGAATACCCATACAGCAACAGGATCTATACACATTGCCTTATGAAAGCTTTCTATACGTCGAGGGAAAACTGATAAAGAACAAAGTAGTCCAGGGTGCTAACGTGTCATTGAGAAATAATTGCGTTGCGTTTATATTCGATGAGATTCGATATGAACTCAATGGTGTGGAGATTGATCGTAACAGAAACGTGGGCATAATTAGCACGATCAAAAACTATGTAACAGTGTCATCCGACAGAAGCGTGATTCTGCGGAATGCAGGCTGGGATGCGCAGACTACTGCAGCCGGATACTTTAATTTCTGTGTACCACTCTACGTACTGCTGGGATTTTGCGAAGATTACAGACGTGTGGTGATCAACGCTCGTCACGAATTGATTTTAATACGAGCGCGCAACGACAACAATTGTCTGACGAGAGATTCGGCGACAGAGCCGACACTCGAATTATTCAAAGTACAGTGGCGAATGCCGCATGTGTTATTGAGCGAGATAAATAAGTTGTCGATACTGCGTGGAGAGCGGATGATATCTTGGAGAGCATAGCTTTTCGCTCTTGGGATCTGTACGAGTTTCCGCTCTTGCAGAGCACATCCAAGCATTCGTGAGCCATCAAGACGCTCAAGGCTAGTCAGCTCGAGAAGCCGCGTCATTTTCGCTATGCAAACAGATCGAAAAAATATCATGTCTGAGGATGTAAGTCGAGTCGACCACTGCAAATTAACCAATGCTAAACCTGAATACGGAATGTTATCCGTACGATGATTTGAATCTATATTTTGATAAAAACAGATGTGCGATTCTGTATGATTTGTACGCGCGTTTCTGCAAAAACTACTATGGATACGAGTATCTCGAGCCAAGTCTCACCTTTACAACTTTTTTACGTAATGACCCGTTCGTGATCATCGATTAGCGCGGAGGAAGGTGCGGTAGAGGGGGAAGGCGCTAGAAGATCTCAGCGTTACCGTTGTCGCCGCCGCCACCGCCGCCGCGTACCCCCCGCGCCCCGCGCTCCCCTCTAGCCCCATAGGTTAGAATCGGCCCTATACAGCTACTCGCACTATTTACAATATTGTCTAAGCATAAACTATTAACTCTATATTTGATTTTTTTTATTATAAATTTCGCGCAAAAAATCTACAACATCACATTTATGATACAATTTTCACCTAAAAGTGTTACAAAATGTTTAAATATTTTATTGACGATATACTCGCACAGCTCAAAATATACGTTCTCGACGCAATGTTCGAGTTCGAACATGAAGAGCACGGTTGATGGCTTCATATGAAGACATTTATTGCACAATGTTTATTTGACCACATTCACATCACGCATTTTTATGATTTCTATCACAAGATCATGGATCGATAATGATAAAGGTGCGATTGATTGCACGAACCGCTCAATATCCCCGCATCTTTTGATGAAAGTTCGCCTTATTGCACGATTACGTTGTTACATGGTTCTCACCAATTGCAATTTCCACAAAAGGATCCCACCCCGATTCCGACATCCAGATATTTTTAAGTTGTAGGAGTTAGTGTTAATCTTTTTCCCAATATACAAGATGTATGACGGAGTTTATTGTAAGAAGATGCTCTGTAGAAGAAAGTAATATACACGCACGCACGCGCGCACGCACAAACATATATATATATATATATATATATATAACACATCGGTCAATAAGTCCCCGGTCTAGCAAAGAAAACACAAGTGTTACATAAAAATTCGAATTTATTCATCAATATAGGTTCCTTTTAAGGCAATACAATCAGTCCAACGCCTTTCCAAACGTTCGATGCCGGTTTTGTAGAACGATTTTGGCTGACCCTCAAAATACGCATCAGTTTCGGCGATGACCTCCTCATCCGATCGAAATTTCTTCCCAGCGAGCATTTTTTTGAGCTCAGCGAATAGGAAATAGTCGCTGGGGGCCAAATCTGGCGAATACGGTGGGTGCGGGAGCAGCTGGAAGCCCAACTCGTTCAATTTAACCATCGTTGCCATCGACTTGTGACACGGTGCATTGTCCTGGTGAAAAATGATTTTTTTCTTCGCCATATGGGGTCGGTTTTCGACGATTTCGGCCTTTAAACGCGTCAGTAGTGCCATGTAATATTCGCTATTGATGCGCCCACCCTTTTCGAGGTAGTCAATGAAAAGGATACCATGGGCATCCCAAAATACAGATGCCATAACCTTGCCGGCCGACGTTTGAGTTTTTGGTCGCTTGGGGCGGCTTTCACCGGCTGCAGTCCACTCAGCTGACTGCCGATTCGACTCGGGTGTGAAGTGGTGAATCCATGTTTCGTCCATGGTCACATACCGACGCAAAAAATCTTTCCGATCCTTCTGAAACATGGCCAAACAGCTCTCGGAATCATCGACGCGTTGTTGTTTTTGATCCACAGTGAGCAAACGCGGCACCCACTTCGAACACAGCTTCCGCATCGACAAATGATCGTGTAAAATGGTAAAAACACTTCCCTTGGATATCTTTACGATGTCAGCAATATCATCCAGCTTTAATTTACGGTCGGACAAAACCAATTTATGGACCTGCTTGATTTTTTCGGGGACAACTGCCTCATTTGGGCGACCAGAGCGGTGTGCATCGTCGGTGTCCGTACGACCGCGTTTAAAATCAGCATACCAGTCGATAATTGTTGATTTGCCTGGGGCAGAGGTGCCATAATGTTTGTCCAACCACTGTTTTGCCTCAACGGTGTTTTTTCCCATCAAAAAGCAGTGTTTAATGAGCACACGAAATTCCTTTTTTTCCATTGTTATGAAAATAACCAAATTAGCGTCACTAAAGCTTCAATAACTCACACAATAATGATCCGAATGACATATACATTTGACAGTACGCCTAAAAGGGTCTGTTCTTTCGAACCACTATGTACTTTTTGTGTTAGTGGCGCTCTCTATGTGTCAGACCGGGGACTTATTGACCGATGTGTTATAATATATATAAAATAGAGAAAAAAGGAAAATAGATAAACAAACTGTAGAGAAAAGGTATAAAAAAATAAAATAAAATTTACAATTTAGGAGTATAAATAAGTTTCCGCCGTTTTTTATCAAAAATTGGGCATTTATTATGAAAGAACGGTACCTAATGTTTTATTCGAAATATTGTCTATCGCTAGCCACTACTTTTTCCCATCTTTCTGGCAGCATACGGATACCGCGTCGGAAAAACGCTTCATCTTTTGAAGCTATCCACGAATAGACCCAATTTTTGGTATCTTCATATGATGTGAAGTGTTGCTCAGACAGGCCATGCGCCATCGATCGAAACAGGTAGTAATCAGAAGGAGCAATGTCTGGTGAATACGGCGGGCGGGATAAAACTTAATCAGAAGGAGCAATGTCTGGTGAATACGGCGGGCGGGATAAAACTTCCCAATTGAGTGTTTCCAAGTAGGTTTTGACCGACGCCGCAACATGTGGACGAGCATTATCATGCAGAAGAATAACTTCGTCGTGTCTGGAGTAGTAGTGGAGTAATAGTTTTTCCTTGAGTGCTCGGCTCAATCTCATCAATTGTGTTCGGTAGAGAGCTCCAGTAATGGTTTCGTTCGGTTTGCATGAGCAACTCATAATAAACGACACCTAGCTGATCCCACCAAATACACAATATGAGCTTTTTCCCATGAATGTTCAGCTTGGCTGTCGATGTTGAAGCATGGCCAGGTGGTCCCCATGATTTCTTCTTCTTTGGGTTATCGTAGTGGATCCATTTTTCATCACCAGTGACTATATGGTGCAAAAAACCCTTTCGTTTATGCCTGGCAAGCAGCATTTCACATGTGAAAAATCGGCATTCAACGTTTCTCGGCTTCAGTTCATATGTAACCCAATTTCCTTGCTTTTGAATAATTCCCAACGATTTTAAGCGATGTGAAATTGCTGGTTGAGTCACTCCTAATGTAAGTGCAAGTGCTTCTTGCGTTTGGCACGAATCTTCATCCAATAATGCTTCCAATTCCGCGTCTTCGTACACTTTCGGCCTTCCGCTACGTACTTTGTCTTCGACATCAAATTCACCGTTCTTAAACTTTTGAAACCACTCACGGCAACTTCTCTCACTTAAGGCAGACTCACCATGTGCTTCTACAAGCAATCGATGCGCCTCAGCTGCAGATTTCTTCAAATTAAAGAAGTAAATCAAAAGCTCCCGCAAATGATGCTTATTCGGCTCAAAACTCGACATTTTCGCACGAAAAAAGATATAAGATGCTAATGCAAAATCGCTAATATTTCAAGGTTATGTTCTTGCCAGATGTCCAACCTTACGATATGACGTTTTACAGCTGACAATTTTAACTATAACATACTGGTAGCGCCATTGTTTGTCAAACGGCGGAAACTTATTTATACTCCCAATATTTGCACGGTCTAGGTTCACTGCTACAATATCAAATTATTGTTTAATAACGACAATTATTTATTGTTATAATAGGATTAATTAAATTGTTGCAATATGGCTTTGTCTCATTATTCTGATTAATTATCGATTCGGATATCGTGTATACCTCCTGCAGAATAGATCGTATATATGATTGACGACGAGTCATTTCGATCTCTTCGTTCAAACATTGCGTGTAATCGTCGAACGTTATCGTTTGCTCTACGACGTTACTCTTTACGTCTTTCACCTTCTTAGTATCCTTCTTGCCATTCATCCTCACCACATACATCTTCGCTCTGAGACCAACGAATTCGGTCATTATCGCACCGTTTTCGTCCTTCATCAGACTGGGTACTTTTTTATTCGCGAGAGGCATACGCGTTGTCTGTTGGATAATCGCTCGTGTCGAATCTAGCGATATTGCGTTTTATAGTCTCGTAAATATCCTCGCACTCGACGCGGTATATAAGACTGTCTGTATCGGTGTACATTATTTTACATTTGTCGCGAAACAGTGGTAACATATACTCGTGGTGAAATTCGTACAAGCAGACTTTCGATATGTCAAGTATACATATACCCACGTAAATCGGCTTGTCGAACTTCACCTCGAGTTTGCGCAGTTCGACGGCTATTAAATTTTCCGCAAAGACGTTACGGCTGTGGAAATTTGGTTTTGCAATCATTGCCTCCGCGCCGTATCGCCCATCCCATTTTGTTAATAATTTTCGTCAGCGGGGTTGCGCACATTCTCTATAGTTTTACCGAATGCCGCGTTGTTCATTAATTTATACAAATTTTTTTCGAAATCGTTTTTCGCGCGCGTTCTGAAATTTGTATTAAGTTCAATGTAATCGCGAAGTCATGGAGATTGCGCGAATTGTAGCACCCGATGGATCTTTGTTACGCGAAGACCGTGACGAGTACATTGCTGCAGGTTGTGGTAGTGGATGACGTTACTCTGTTTATCGTACAGCGTCGCTAAAAGTTTATGTTCGCGCTTGCCGGACGGGTTATCGCGCATCGGACAGAACGGTAGGTCAGTGTGTCGGTCGTGTATATGCTGCGGATACTCGAGATCGATTTCGAGAATGTAACCGGTAGGCGAATCCAGAGCGATCGCGCTCGCGTCGAAGTTCGCAGCGTCTTCAACCCATTGAAATTTGGCGTATGGCAATGGTTGATATCGCCCACCCGTATAAATTGTTAACGTCGTAGTACATCAAGTACGACGACGGTTCCGACGGGTCGTACGAATGCATGTACTTGTTATTACCCTGCGCATATCTGCCTGAACATTGACTGAAACCACCGCGTATACCGCGCTCGATGAACATGATCATGTCAATATCAGTGAGCAACTCAAACTTTACACGCGTATGTTTCAACATCGCGTCCCACGTGAAACCAGGCAAGGTGTAATAATGTGCGGGATCGAGACCGTAACTCGCGACGCAACTTTCGCGGAAATTTTCGAAAATGTCAGCTAATAACAAGACATCGGTTTTCAAGTACAGATCACTGTACTTGCCGAGCATTCGGATGGAGAATCGCTGCTATATGTTCGCCGCGTGAGCGTAATTGCTCTCGGATACGGTATTGCACGTTAACGAACTGTAAAAAGATTCGCGCGGTGATAAGCGCATGTCCTGCAATTTTTCGGCATAGTCAACGTACTCGTACGGAAAGACACCTTTACGAGTCAGTAATTCAAATTCATTATCCGGTAGTGTTGAAAATTTTGAACGTATAATTTTTAATTTGTCTTCATCAAGATACGACACTAATTTATCGAGGCTTGTACTGAGAAATTTGAAAGAATCAATAAAATGTAATTTTACACAATTTCTTTGAGAATTATTTTCAGTTTTATCTTTAGTGCTATCGACATGTTTTGTGAAGGAGATGTATTTTTCTTTGGTTATTGGTAATACATCTACGTGTCCTTCATATGCTGTAGCGATTTCCTTAATTATAAAATGCGCGTCATAGCCCGATAAATTGTGAAAAACGATCGGAATATATAATGAATTTTTATAATTTAAATTACAGTTTGAATGCGCTGGACCGCAGTATCTACCGGTTAAGTGGCAATGATCGCGTACCCGCCTGTCGTCCGACGCCAATGATTTCTCGCAAATGTGACAACGCGTCGCGCTACGGTACGCTTCTTATTGTTCTTTCGACAACGTTTCCATGGGCACGTTGGCGGATATGATATTTTTCACGCGATTCGCCAAATCGTTGAGTTGTCGCGCGAATCACGCTATACAATCTTTATCGCGACGGAACTGATACGATGATAACGCGTCATCGTACGAGCAACGCATGTAGTAGCCTATGCTGAAGAGCTCATGCTGTTGATACGCTTACGACGACGCATCTTTCCTGTCGGATTCCGTCTTCCGTAAAACGCACTCCAGGTCGGCGTAGACGACGAATGGGACGCGCTCCTTGTTGCAGTTGTTCCCAAATTCGAGCCACTTTTCGTCCTCGCTCGGTAGTCGAATAGCGCAATCGTTGATCTTCTGGCAGTCCATTGTGTGCAACTGCAATTTCTCTTTTGTGCCGAAGTAATGCAAGCATCTGAAAAAAACAAAAAATTATAACAGTTACAATTATTTTATTAGCAAGACGGAAAATTATAATAATTTTTTCATGTGTACTTACCGGTCACAGAAATATTTCTTGTGCTCTTTTTTGCTTAATTGCGAGCTCACGAGACGCAACAGATTTTTTATCCAAGCAAAGTGGCCGACACCGTCGTCGCGTGGATCTTGCATGTACAGGAGATTGACATACTTGTCCTTCTTGTCACTGGTGAGCCGCAGGGGAAGGACTTGTTTATTCTCGATACCGTATACATTGATCGACACCGCATTCAACCGTTAGAATTTCGGAATGTCTTTGAACGTTATCGGAAATTCGATACCCGCGAGATTCAGCGCCGTCGTATAATGCGGATACGACTCTATCTCCGTATACTTTTCAGCCGAGTACAGAGCGGCGACTACCGACCGTGCGAAGCACGCATTGTCCGTCGTTCTAACATTGATCACCGCTCGTTTCGTCGCTATTTCCCGTGGCACTTCGAACTAACATCCCGCACGCATGGGATTTAATTTGTTCACATTCACTACCAAATTGAGGATTCGTGACAATGCCCATCCGCTGTCGCGTTCCTGGAACTTTTCGAGTGATGTCAACGTGGGCTCGAAGATATGCTGCTCGTACCACTCGCGCAAATCGGTGTATCGGTATATCTCGCGGTTCTTAGTGTTTATACTCTTAATATCATGTTTGTTATTTGTTATAAATTTGCCGTTTAACGCAGTGTTCACTTTTGCACTACCATGTCTTTCTACGGCGTCTCGCACGTTCGAGCACTATTTCTCTCGCGTCTTGCAAAAACCGCCGCTGCTCGATGTAATCGACGTTGACCATAGCATCCGTCGATATACGGCTTTCAAACGCGGTGTCGATCTCTCGCCAGACGAGAGATCTTTCGTCGTTTTCTTACTCGCGTACCCGCCACCA